GCATTACCACGTTTGATTATATCTTTTGCATCGAAATGTATGAAATCAGGTAATGATACGTGGATATTTCTTATTGGATATCTTATTTCATATATTCCACCTATGCTTACTTTTGTTATATTTATATTACCATCCAAATTTTACAAAAATCAATTTCATAAGAATCTTGCTGAGTATCGAACTAATATACAGAACTATTTAAATATTCTTTTACAAAGGTAAATTACGTCTTTTTTCGTTTTCTTCTTATCAAATCTGTAAATAAACTACGATAGTCATGTCCTTCATCGATTTTCAATAAAAAGATATAATGAAGAAAGAAGCCGAAAAAAATGTACATTTTTGACAAATGAGAATAGGAGTAATTCACTTGCTAATCCGTATAGATCCCAGTTCAACAAATCCGATCCCAGATCCGATCATCCGACAAAATCCGATCGGATTCCTGGAAACGGAATTGCATTGGAATCCGACTAGAAAAATCCCGTCGGTTGTCGCAAATTTTATGAGCGATCTTTTTAGCTATGCTCGATGATGACCCTTAGAAAATCCAGGAAATCCATGTTTCGGATCCGACGAGATCCGACAGGGTGTGGATGAGGGCGAGGGTGATGAACTCAAACGTTTTCTCTGCATTTAGTTATTATCACGTGTCTCATTGCTCAGTGATTATTCCTGATGATATTGTCTTACCTTTTCTCTGTCTGTAATTATCTTATGTCTCCTCTGGATCTCTCTATCTCTCTCACTGTTCAAGGTTTATGTCGTTGTTGCGAGCAATATCATGTGAATCTCTTTGTCTGTCTGTTACTGCATGTCGTCGCCTATAAAAGGCAACTTTTCGATTTGTAGTAGGTAGTAGCTACGTGATCTTCACTTATCCATCTGCTCGACAGACTCTCTAATCTTCACCTTCTCCGGGCGCTCATTCTTTCTGTTAACGATTGTTAAATCAATTGTGTTGACTTCAAGACTGTCGAGGAAATGAGTTGTCGGTCAAGTGAACCAGACCCTTCGGTTATTTTATCTTCTCTAAGCTTCTTAAATAAACGTCTAGTCGTTCCCATGATTATCCCTACTATGCCTTTGACTTTTGATTAATTTTCGAGTGACTGACTACGTTTCCCGCCATTCTCGCTTCTAAGTTAGAGACTCGCCACGCATTTGATTATCAAAAGAAACTAGAAAGAGACTTCTATCTTATGATTTGGCTTTTAAAGAGCATCCATCATAGTGCCTGATATGCTCAAATTAGTATATATCTAGTCGTTGTCCCTATAGGTAGTAATATAGAACTACACTGGCAGCCATACTTTTGGAGACTTACTTCCGCTAAAATTCTGTCGAGAGACAACATGTGTCGCAGCGTGAAAAAAAACTATATTAACTTCATACTATTTCTTCTGATATCTTAAATTGCAAATATCATCATGCGAGATAGACTAAAGTCTTTTGGTGCAATTGTATAAACAACTATCTTCGCACACATCTTATGGCAGACATGAGCAAGTCAAGTCCAAAACTGTATAAATATATCCAAGTGTTTTAAGCAGTTTAGTATAAGTTTTAGGCCTAAAAGTATCAAAAATTTTTTATTAAGAATCATAGAAGAACTTATGTAGTGAACTGACGCCAAATATGGGAAGTCAACTCGATTTTGGTCTTGACTCAAACCAAGTCAAGTCCATCTTCGACTTCATTTCAAGTTAAATCAGGTGAAGTCAAGTTATTTGTGACTCGGCTTGAGGTATGACTTGAATTCGAAGATTTTTATATGTGACTTGACTTGGATCAAAAAGCTGGTGCCTTGCACGTGTCTGTCTTATATGGTGACAAGCAAAGAGTATCCTTTTCCAATGTGCTCGGATGAAACGTCCTTTTCTTTTTCGTTCTCCTGATGTACTCATGCAAAAAGACGAAAAACAAAAGGACGTTCTCGGTTGTATTCCATCATACCCAGCCATGATGCTTAACCTACTATCTCCTACATAAGAATTTAGAAAAGATTCAGAAACATATCTGTTTTGAAAAGAGAAAGGAAGAAGCCGCACTTCAACGAATAAAGAAAACCTAACAGCAGATTCGAGGTCTTCGACCTCGATTACCCTTCGGTCAACCCTTACTCGACAGCGTAGAAAATTTTCATCCCTTAATTAGCTAATGAGTTAATTGGAATTTCGAGAAACTAATTTCAGATTCGAGATCCTCGACCCCGATTACTCTTCGGTCAACCCTTAAGATGGCCATCTGTGTTTCATGTATATACTATTTGAACGAAATAAAACGAACGGACGAACGAACTTTAACTCAAATTCTGCGTATACCCTCCTTTCAGTAGAGGGAATTAGAAGCGATTAACAAGGAGGGTGTGGTAGTGAGGGTATAAGTGAAATTAAATCTATTTCTTTACCTATCTAGTCGTTCACTGTTAGACTGATATAGACATCTAGTTAAATTCGAATTGATATTAATCTGACCGGGGTCGACTTATAATATAAGTCGAATTAGGCAACTCATGGAATTTATTATTTAATTAGCACCGCTAATCATTCGAAGAGTATAAGTCGGCTTTTATCACGTAAGTGAAGTTGGCAGCGGATTCGAGTTCTTCCATCAGCGATTCGCCCAGGAGTCCGTTCCAACTAGCGTTCCAGATGCAGCTCGACGAGCTCTATCTATGGGGTATCTTGGAATCCTCATAGCTCCAGCTAAAACCTATCAAAACCCAAAATACCGGTTTTCCAGTAAGAATTGCATGGATTTTCTCAATCATTCCATCAGCGATTCGCACAGCAGTGCGTTCCAACCGTTCCAACTAGCGTTCCAGATGCAGCTCGACGAGCTCTATCCATGGGATGCCTTGGAATCGTGTTACTCGCAACTTTATAAGAGAGAAGTAAAAAATAATAAATTTCATGCCGTAGCTTCTGGTATCTTTTGTTAGATGTGCCTATATTCTGTGTATAAGTGCTGTGACTGTTTGAAATGCATTTTGAACACAATTTAATAACTTCTATCTTTTGGCAATCTGAAATCCTCTGCACTTAAAA